AAAAAAAAAAAAACCTGAATTTTGAAATTTCAAACTATAAACCTTATTATTGAATTGGTGTAAAGAATACACCTTATTTATGAATTTTTCCCTAATTACAACCTACTCAACACGTCCACACACTAAAACCTTAACCCATAAAGTCACAGCCAAATGCAACATATTAATTAGCCCGACATAAACCAGCCCCCTTATTCAAACAAACCAAATACCAAACCCAACATCGAATCTAGTTCTCCCTAGTCCATTTTAAAGATTTCTTCTTCTTCCAACATAGTCTAATAATTTGAAATGTTGTGGCATGCCTATAAAAAGTTGACTTCTTATGATGATGATAAAAAGCTTCTTCAACCTCCATGGTCTCTTGATGAACTCTTTGCCTTGAACGAATTGAGGATTTGCTCTTCCATGTCCATGCTTGCGGTTTTCCTTCCATTAATGAAGGCATTGGTCGTAGTTGAGATATTAAAGCATCCAAATGTTGCTATAAAAGTAGCAGTCGCTTCTTGCATAAGCGAATAATCACAATTATTGAACTGTATGCCCCATATGGTGATGAGAAAATGCAAATATCTTTCAATTAATTGTATCATCAAAATTCATGTCTCTTTGAGTGAAGGGGTGATCCAAGAGCAGCATGGGCTTTTAAGCTTCTTGCATGTCCTTTCATTCCATCTGCCTTTTATGGACTTAAAAGTCCCTATTGGCATAAAACCCTCTTCTGATGCCTTCGAGAGGGCAAATACCTTCTTTTCAGGAAAAAAAGAGAGGAGTTTCTCATGCACGATAGATAAAATCGGTCGATTAGTCTCAGTTGGAGTAGGAGATGTAATTGGGCTTTCATTGAATCATACTTTCCTGATGCTCCATTTGGGAATCTCCTTTTTTTTGGTGGAAAGAAATACAATGAATACTCCTTCTATTTTTCGCCGAATTCACCGATGGGCCTTCCATTTCTGTTTCGGAGATCGACCTAAAAAGTCGTATTCTTGCCATACTAGAATGCCTCTCTAATATCTTTCAAAATCTAAATTGATTCGTTTCTACTAATAAGCTCCAATTGCATCGTAGGAATTATAAAAAAAAATCAAAGAGAATATAGAAGGCAATGAATCAGCAGAAGTTGACATTTAGGATAAACAAAAGGCATTTCGGACAAAAATTACAGAAATATCATTAGATGAGAAAGGCATCTTTACACTTTTGTCCGACTAAATCAATAAAGGGTATGCTAAGTGGGGCATGATATTTGAAACTATGGCCAATGTGAGGTACTCCGTGATCATGTTGGATCTAGAATGTGAACAAATAATATTTTACATGTTCCAAGATTTTATTACAACCCTAAGAGAGATTACAATCCAGAGAATATCATCAAATTCATGGAGATAATTATTAATCCTTAAATTGGAAGAAAGCAATAATCTCTCTCTA